CTGCCAGTGCCAGACGAACTGGCTCTGCTTTCTACGCTTTCGCGAGCGGAGTGGGTGGGGCAATGGGTGGTGGGTGGTGGGCTGTAGTTGAGCGAGAACTGAAAAGGTGCGGCGACATTGAACAAGCCAACGAACGGGCGAGAGAGCGAGAGAGAGAGAGCCAGCTGACTTTTCTGATAACATCGTCATCGTCATCGCAATTTTAATTTATGCGCAACACACGCACAACCATCTCACACAAACACACTCAGTAGCCCTCAACTCTCAATTGCGATTGAGATTTTTTTTGTAAAGCTTAACATCTTTTTACACATTTCACAATTGTTGTTGTGACTCTCTGGAGCAGGGGTACACGAACTCGATAAAAAAAAGTTTGCACAGTCGGATCATGCATTGATCATTAGCTCAAAAGATAAAAGCAAAAACATAACAGTGGAAAATAAATGCTGCCTTTAAAATCTTGTTGAAAACTCATAGCAAGCGAAATCTATGTCACCTACCCCTTATTACAATTTCAATAAGGTGTTCCATTTTAAAAATTGTTTACAGTAACAAAACTTTTATGTTTAGTTGCCAAGCTAAATATTAAGGTATTGCTTATCAGCATCTGCCGATCATTAAAATTACATATTTTACGATTCTGTTTCCAGTTCATTCCGATTCAATTTAATGGAATTATAAAATTTAGGTACATATTCTTGTTTGGAACATTAAAAATTAATAAAGCTTCTAGCTTACTTTTGTATTACACAATTCAAATCTAGAAATTCAAAGATGTTCAAAAGATTTTGTTGAAACAATTCGTTAAGTATTTAAACATTCGAATTTTTTTTCTGATGAATACGTTAAAGCTAATTCTTAAGACTAAACACATGAATCAACATGGTCCGGAGCAATCTGTCAAATTATTATGCGTACACATACATATGTTAAATTCGATGCTTTAATGTTTAATGATGATAACGATTAAACATAGCGGTTAACTGTCTTTTGATTATATTCGACCCAAACATACAATTTCAACTGATTCATATCTAGATAGCACAGAGGTTATATAGTAGAATTCTGACAGAGCTAATCAAATGAAAATCAATAAATAAGTAGGTATGGGATAAACACATAAAACCGAGCAGCTTGTTAAATATTATTCATAGAGTAGCCGATAATTGTGAGAGCGTCCAGCTGTCCAATTGGGGCCACTGTGCGAATTTCTTTCCGCTGCCGCGCGCTCACTTATGTAAACACGCTGCCCACTGTGCGCGCTCTCTTCGCCGCTCTCTCTCACGCTCTCTTTCTCTCTCTCTCGTTCTGGCTCTCTCGTTACAGCAGCAACGATCGACGACGACCAACAGTTGGAAAAGTCCGCTCATTTGGCCGCTGAAAATCGACGCCGCGACACGAGACGCATCACAGTGGGAATATTCGACGGCGGCGACGCGTCGCCCGTTGCAGTGGCGCATTTTTTTTTTCGTCGGTTTGATTGATTGCGATTATGAACGAGACCTTCAAGCTGTCCGGAATGCAGCGCAGCAATATCGAGCTCGAGCGGCAGAGGCACCTGGCCAATTGGCTGGTGAAGAGTAGTCCGCACATGGCGGCCGCAGCAGCAGTAGCAGCCACAACAGCAACAACACCCAACACTGCATCATCAACGACGGCGGTGGCATCGGCAACAACAAATCCTGGCTTAACAGTGGGAGGAGCAGGAGCAGGCGCAGGCACAGTGGGCGGCAACGGAACTGCAGCAGCAGCAGGCGCGCCCAGCAACAGCGTCGCAACTGCAGCTGCATGTAACGGTAAGCTCGGCGGGGGCAGCGAGAGAGAGAGGTAGTGGTCGAGGGAGACAAGGCACGCGCTCCAAGCAAGCGGGAGAGGAGAGAAGAGTGCGCTGAGGTTTTTTTTGTTTGCTCAAATGACGTCGCCTTAGTTTTTTTTATGCCCTTCCTATAAGGGGTATGGTAATTTAGAACATCAATGTAGACCGTCTCTTAAATGTTCTTGCAAAAGTAAATTGAATTAAAGTATTTAGCATTTGCGTAATTAATTAAAGTAATTTAGACCAACAGATTGCAGCTGCAAATATATACATAGATATTTATAAAAAGGCTATAATCCCGCTTAAGATTAAGCCATTATAGCACCCACACACATTTGAGTACAAAGTCAAGTAGAACAGTAATTACATTTTTTATGCCGAGTAAAGACCGTATACTCCTACCTCGTATAACGTACAAGCTTACCTGTCATAGATTTTAATGACGAGTAATAAATGAGCCAAGTTTTGCATCTACACTCGGAATTCTAATTAAAAAAAACTGAAATATAATTTTAATAAACACACCAATTTAAAGGTTAATATAAAAGTAAAATTTTGGTTTTGGTTCGACTTATTGAAGCTTGTCTGTACTCAGCTTTAGGAAAAGCGAATCCAAAAAGTATAAATATTTATTTTGGTGCAAATCGAAATCAAGCAAAACGTTTGAAAGTGAAAACCGAAACATGTGCTATTTTTATGGCCAGCTAGTTTGGTTGAAAGAAAAATCAATACTCTGAGCAATAAGAGTTTAAAAGATAAATCTAATGGGTATAAATTTAAAAAGAACACTATAAATTGGAGAGGACTGTATTTATATGAACCATAAATGGTTCAGGTTTTTTGTTGTTTTTATTTACCATAAATGAACTTAAAAGTAGCGGATGATACAAATTTTTTAAAAGAACTAGTTACACACAGTTTTGAATAAAACAAAATCTTGCTAATTGCTGTTAATTGAATACAAATAAGTATTTTTTTTTACCTTAAATTGTGTTGGTTTTGAATATTTTATACACATTGGACAATTATAGCAGTACGATCTGAGATAGAAAGATACATACATTATTTTGTATACCTATGTTTCATAAAAAACTTTGCAGTTATACTTCCTGGGAATTCAAGACCCGCACAATGGATTTTGCCCTGAAAGGGTATTTTAAGCCTCGAAACCAGAAGAAAGCTTTTTTCTTTTTTAAGCTAGCTGGTGGGTCGGTGTCGTCTTTATGGTGAATTTTTTTTTGCCAAGGCGCGCGCGTCGCTTCGCGTAATTTCACACGAAACGTGACGATTACACACTGCCTCCTCTCCCTTCCTCCCTCTCTTTCACTCACTCACTCTCTCTCGCTCACTCGCAAACTCTGCAATTGATATTTCGCAAAAGATAAGCACAATTTCACAAAACGTTTTAGTGATTTTGCCCTCGCCTGCATTTATTAAATGTGTATTGTGTGTGGGGCGAAAAATTAAGCCAAATGTGCGCAATTAAAGTGAGTAATGCGCCGCCGACCACCAATCAGCGGTAGCAGCGGATCCAAATCGCACCATGGGCCCCAATCGAACAATGAGCAATCAAAAATCGCGATATCTCTTTTTAATTGCACCGCTTGAAGTTCACTCACACACACACACACACACACACACACACACACTCACTCTATCCTATCAAAACTAACAGAAATAAAAAGGCTAAGTGATTTCATGCGCATTGTTGAGGCGACAGACAATTGGTTTTTTGTGGATGTCGGTCCGATAACGAAAATAATATATGATGTTTGCCCATGGGGGTGTTATCTTTTTGTGTTGTCTGCCTAGCTATTCCCCGTTAATCGCTTCCAGTTGTTGACTTCTTTTATTAATACCTCGATATCCGATCCGATCGGATCTGTTGCGCCTTCAATAACATTTGACCTTAAAATGTTCAAGTCATAGACCTCAATGTTTCGAGGGTTCTTCCTTAATATTAAATTCAGTGCACCGCATGAAACAAAAATAAATCTGTTGCTGCGCAATCAAAAATATTAACGCAAAAAAAAATTCTTTACAAATGCGCATTCAAAAAATAATCAAAAAACCGGAAGTTCGGGATGACGTGTATTGATCGATAATGAAATTTATTTGATAATAGCTCACAATAGAACGTTGACCCGTCTTGATTTCGATAACGAAACATTATACCATGTTGAAATAAAAAAAATGTTAAGATTATTTAGTTGTCACTTGGAGATTTTTTTAATTGTCAAACTTGGCATAAACCAAACGAGCTGTGTAGTTAGTTTTAATGAACCATAAGAGTACGTCGAAAGCAAAGATTGAGTATCAATTAGCTGATAGTAAATATATTTGAAGTGCAAATAAAGTCTTGTTAGTGGGAAATTTGTTTGCGTAGACGTTGTTATGGAGTGCAAATATATACTTTGAATTATAGAATCGAGATCAAATATAGCAACTTTAGCTGTATTCAAAGTTAAACTACAATGGTAAATAAACTGTCAATTCAGTAGTCTTTAAATTTAAACTATTACATTAAAAAACTGACAATGTAGTAATTAAGAGTAAAATAGTCAATAATTCAAAAGCAACTTTTGTGTGATCTGCGAAACTGCAAGTTTTAATTTATTCAGATATTTTTGATTCGGTAGCCTTGAAACTTTGTATTACAAAGTCGAGAGAGAGAGAGAATGCTGTGTGCAGATGCCAGGTATTCAGTAGTTTTAATTTATTTTAGTCTAAAAATGTCCGACTTGAGCGATAAAAGTTCGATTTTCCCACTTAAAATTCAGCCCAAGATCTTTCGACAATTCTTTCCTTTCTATTGCGAAAATTCTTGTTAATTTTTGCGGTTTCGCTTTGTGACGATATTTGCCCACTGTGTGTCATCGTCTCGTTGACCGTTGACTGAAAATTAGCTGCGCTTAGCAACAGTTTTGAACCACTTGCCTTTCAGTTGCGTCACGCCAACTGAAATTGGCTTGGGGTATATAGCTCTGCTATATTCGTTGTATTGTAGATGTGGAAGTTGATACGACGGTGTGTGGGTTTTTCCCACTGCAGACAACGGGTGGCAATTAGACACTCACATGTGCATTTATATTTATGCGATTACCTCACCGATGCACAATGTGCTACTCCTCGTTGCGTTTCTTATACATATGTATATTTTTCCTACCTTAATTTCATTTTGCAGGTGGAGCGGCGGTTGGCGCCCATCACGGCCACCATTTGGCCGCTGGGGCGCGCAAGCCGAAGCTGCGTCGCTTCAACTCCCACGACACCAGCTCCAATATGTTCTCGGTGGCGGATTTCGAGAACGCCCGTCTGGCCCGCCGCAATGAAATCGAGTTGAACAAGCGCTTGGAGCGACGCCTGCGCGGCAGCGCCAACAACAGCACCTACGGATTGGGAGGAGGAGGAGCGGGTTGCGGAGCGGGATCAGGATTGGCGGGTGGAGCAGGTGGCGGCGGCTATTCCGGATTCTGTGGCGGACTCAATGGCAGCGGCGATTACTCCACCGGCGACAGCAAGGCCTCCAAGGGCAGCAGCGAGGTAAGATTTAATCAAATTTACATCACAGGCATACGACTTGATACAGAGAGAGATCAATAAATCCAATAATATAAACGTTAATAACATAACTCTGAAGAACTCTGAAAACAAAATTATAAATCCAACAAAGATCCCGATTTAAATATATTTTTTCACAATATATATAATGGCCACATTTAATGACTTATATTCTGGATTTTTGAATTTTTAGTTTGGTTTGTTATTTATTTTAGTGATCATAAAGGTCTTTTAATTTTTTTGATTCATTATATTTTTTTTATTCGTTTCTATATTAAGTAATATTAATGAATAAATTTTTTAAAAACAGTTTATTTTTAAATTAATCAATAATTTGTTTTGGTGTACAATATCTGACGTCAATTGGTTTTGTAATCTTGCAAAAAATCATTAGCTGGCAAAAAACCTCAAAAGACGTTGGGAGTATTCATTTCATGACAATTTAGCTTAAGGCTTGTGCCAGTTAATTTTTTAATTGCTTTAAATTTATTTAAAATATTCTGTTTAATTAAAGGTAATGGTTATTTATATATACATAATTGGATTAAAATACGAAATAAGTATAATTACTCGATAAAATTGTTTTAATACTTTGTAATTGTCTTTCAGTCGCAGCAGGAAGCGCTGCCTGCCGATGTGTTTCTCGAGCGGAATCCCCTGCCCCGTGTGGTCCGCATCTTGCATGCTGGCAAGAACTCCAACGAAACTCTGCAGTCCAGCTCATCGCATGGCTCCTCCACGGCGGCTTCGAGCAGCTCCTCGACGGGAGCGAATCCGGTTGGTGGTGGTGGTGGTGGCAACATTGACACCGGCACCGGCACCGGTACCCATTCATTGTCCAGCGGAGGAAGCGGGACCGGAAACGGAACTGGCTTTGGTCCTGGTTCTGGTTCTGGTTCGGGTCCTGGACACCAAATCAACAACAGTCGCCACAGCAGCCATGGTGGCACCCCACCCGGCCACGATGAGCTCTTTCTGCTCTACAGGCTGGTGCGACAGCGCAACATCTACCACGGACACAATGCCAAAACTCAGGCTTCGCAGCGCAAAAAGACTGTGCTCATTCCACAGGAGTTTCCGGGTGAGTTTTACGAATTGATGATTTAATTAAGCTGCAATACCAAAATGTTTGACATCATTGTTTTAAAGTTATTTTATGTTTAAAGTATTAAAAATATTTGATTTTTTATTTTAAACTCTAGAAAAGTTAACTGGTAAAACTAATTTGATAGAAAAACCACAATTTTGTATAGATATAAGCAACATTTTATCCAAGCCAAAACTCCTAATAATTAAATTAAAAACTATTATCAATAAGCAAACCAATTATAAACAATTTCAAAAAGTCAGATTTTCAATAATTAACTCAATCTAGTCAAACTATTAAAATTGGTTGTTGAAATAATCAGTTAAATTGGAAACATTATGAAACCTGATTGTGTTTAAGCTTATAAGAATGCTGTTTAATTATCTGCATTTCATTGTGAGGTGTAGGTAATTATATTCAAAAAGTTTAAGATACATTTTTCACAGCTGAGATGAGAGAATAATTTTCCTCTGACAAGGGCGGCCCCAAACAAGTTGTCATTTGCATCGGGGAGGTTAATTTGTTGCTTATGGTAAATTAACTTCAATGACCCACCGATTGATGCGCTTATTGGCAGTAGCTAAGGGCATAACCGACTGGTTTAAAAAAACACCCAGTGACTGATTTGGCACGAACACGGTAGATTATAGTCGCATTCCCCCCCCCCATTTACATAATCCAGACGGAGCTCTTTAAAGGCATAGTTTAGTATTCTCATGACGAATGCGTTTAGATACTTATTGCGCCTGATTACACGGTCAAGTCGTAACAAACTAACTCACTTAGTGAGTCACTCAAGCGAACTGCGATCTCCCAGTGCGAGGGTTACCAAGTACACCATCCATACACATGTTATATTTGTAACCTCCCCCCCCCACACACCCGCACTCCGCTGTTTTTGCAATTTGCGTGACACAGTCACAGTTCAACAATGAAAAGTAATCGCAACTATTGCTCATCAGGCGTTATGCAATAATGGGCTCTACACTCGGGGTTCCAGTGTCGGTTGTTTTTTTTTTTTTTTTTGGCCCAGTCAGTCAGGCAGGCAGCTAGTGGTAACTTCTTCGGTGGCACACCACCATTACCACCACCACCACCCACTTTCTGATCCCCCGAACTGCGGTCAGCCATTGTTTCAACTCGCTACGCCATGTGACTTTTCACAGCCGTTTGCCGAGGCGCAATGTAAACCAATGTGTGCAAATATTATGCAATCTGCCAATTTATAGACTCACTGGCGCTGGGTATAATCATTTTATTCATTAGGCTTGCAATGTCCGGAACAAAAAACTGGATGGCAAATTGGAGTGATTCAATTTGCACGTCCATATTGGATTTTCCTTGTGTTGATTCAATTGCTCTCGACATTGATTGCATTAGTATCTTTACGATACATTTTTTTGTTGTTTTTTTTAATTTTTTTTCACTCAGTGCCACGAATTAAACTAAGTGAAATGATTAATAGACTCTTTAATACATATACTTTACAATTTGGGCATTTAAATGGACTTTAAATAAATTTTTTAGTTTTATTTAAATTATAGATTGACTAAATATTGCCAAATGCAGTTTCACTTAGTCAAATGTATGTCATTCTTGCCAAAATTTTTCGTATGATCCGTTTTAAGCAATATTTGAAAAGATAAAGCCCAATGGTATACTGCCAGCCATACGTCAAGTTATTTGTTTTATTTTTATTGTACTCATTTTTGGATTGCAAATTCAGTGCAAAGCTGTCAGCTGTCGAAAAATTGGTTTTAAGATTTTAGACGTTAAACAGATTTGTTCAGTGGCAGAAATCTAAATGTCTGTCGTGTTCAAAGAGATTTTAAAATCGAACAAATTTGAAATATTTTTCAATTTTATTGCTATGTCTTGAAGAAAGAAAGGATTTTTTGAATGTGAATTTTATTTACATCAACTACAGTCATGACTATTTACTAAAAATCATTCTTATCAGTAAACAAATAAGAATTTATGTTTAAAAAGAAGGAAGAACACTACAGATCGATTGCATTTTCCCTAGTAAAAGGGTACTAATAATATAATGAAAAAGAGTTTGCTTTCTTTTCAAAAATAAGAAGGCAAGATCAATTGCATTTTCTCTAATAAGAGAGTTTTCTTAACGTCTACTTAAACTTATGTTTCAATGTCTTCTACCGCAGGTTACTTTTCGCTGCTGAGCGAGAAGGGTCTGGCCACGGCCACGCAGTACGGATCTCTGATACAGCTGGTGCGGGAACGGGTCTACAAGTTCGTGTCGGTGGACAACATGCCGGCGTTTACCGAATCCTCGCCCAGCAGTGCCAGTAGTCCCACGCACGAGGGCTGCCTGCCCATAATCAAGGGTCGTCCGCAGTATGTTAAAACGACGGCCAGGGGCGGACAGGTGTTCCGTCTGCTGGCCGTCTTCGAGGATGGGAAACAGGAGCAGGGCCAGAACAATATGTCGCAGCATGGCAACATTAATGTGTCCAAGTCTCATGGCAGTGGCTACATGGGACGCGAGAAGGAGAAGAATCGGTACGCTCAGTTGCTGAACGAGAACCGGCAGGTGATGTACGTCCCACTGTCCACCAAGGGCAAGTTCTACGAGATCGAGCCGGGAATCCCTCAGCTGCTGCAGAAGTTGGGCGATGCCCAGCGCAAGCTAAATCCGGAGTGTGTGCATCGTTTGGGTGCCTTGGTAACGGCGGCCAAGCAGTTGCCGCTGACACTGCGTTACATTTCGGGTCCCGGCGCTCCCGACATCCCCGAGCAGTTGTGCATTAGTCAGGTGAGCAAGGAGGATGTGGTGGTGGGCTGTTCCATTGAGGATGTGGACTCCCAGACGCCGCTGCAGCTAAGGAAGTTCTATCCCAGTCGAGACATGCAGCTGGTAAAGAGTTATCTGGGCTTTGATTCCGAGCAGCGGATGCTGGCCAACACGAATGTACAGAATATGCTCAAGTTTTGCCAATTCAACTGCGATCCGTTCCTGAAGTTGGTGGAGATTGAGTTGATTCAGCGATCGGAACGTTCGGCAAGCAAGAATCGCGAGGGCCTACGCATCCTGAAGCCATTGCATTTTCCAAAGATCTTGAGGCGTGAGAAGAGCACCATGGCAGCGGCGCACGAGAAAGAGGACTCCATTATCTTCCTCAGCAAATCCGATCTGGAGAATCTGGAGGCCAAAGAGGCGGCGGCTGCTGTGGCAGCTCAGTCGGAATCCAGTCTGAATCGCATCTCCGAACGCATGAGCGTGTTCCAGTCCACCAAGAAGAAGTGGTTCGGCAAACATCATACCCAGCAGCAGCACCACCAGCACCACCAGCACCAGCAGCAACAGCAGCAGCATCAGCAACTGGTGGAGAAACAGCAATCTGAACTAGATCTCGATGAGCAGGCCAAGCGAATGAGCATGGAGCGCTATACGGACATGTCAAAGCTTCTGCAGGAGCGTTTCGGTTCGGATCCCGAGCAGCCGGATCAGGATGGCATCTCGCTGAACAGCACAGCAGCCTCCGACACCGAGACCACAATGCTGACCACCATGGAGCCCAAATCGCTGGACACGCTGCTGCAGAAGTCCATGTCCCTGCAGGACATCGAGCTGCTGAATGGCCAGTGCAAGCCGCGTCCCGATCTGCTGGCCAGCCACAATCACACGGATGCCATCAGCGAGGCGGGTACCGAGCTGGAGGATGTGGAGAACCAGACACCACCGCCACAGTCCTTCATCACGGAGAAGCTGTACAATGAGTTCCATGTGAAGACGCGGCAGTACAGCAAGTCATCGTCGAGCTTGCATCAGTTGCGCCTTTTTGCGTTGCCACAAAAGTTGCAGCTTCACGAGGCGGAGAAGGAGAAGCGTCATCTGATGCTGCTGAAGGCACAACAGCAGTCGCTGGCCAAGGAGCCCATCACCGGAAGAAGGGCAGCGGGTGGAGTTTGTCTTTTGGGTGGCGGACTCAATCACCTGCCCATTTCGCCAGCCTCGCTGGTGGAAGACGATCTCCCGTACTCGAGTGTGCGCGATTCGCTGGTAATATCCGCCGGCGGCGGCTGTCTGCGATCGGAGGCAGCCAACAGGCCAGTTCCGGCCGTGGATTACATCAAGGAGAATATATACGCGGAGATCTGTCCATCGCACACCGCGGACACCTTCTCGGGCACCACTCAGTTAACTCATGTGCAGGACGACGACGGGGACTACGCTTCGCTCAAGTATTCGGTCAACGGCGGACCACAGTCCGTCAGCCGCATCGAGGTGAATGGAGCGACGACGACGGCGGTGAAGAGCAGCGCCATCAGCTACCACACCGTGTACCTGGGCGAGGAGCCGCTGGGCGAGCGACACGCTGCCCACATCACCACCGTGGAGCTGGCCGGCGAGGATAACATTTACAATACGCTCAAATGATGACTCATGTGATTCCGGCGACGTAAGTTTGCCGGCGCCAAGGGCCTGTTTTAAAGACGCCAATGAACAAAGGGTAAACAAGGGAAAAGAAGGAATGGCCTGTCTCATATGATCCTATCCAAGGCCTTCTTATTGTCTTGTACTCGAAAGTATTTTTATTTATTTTCATAGTTACTCAATCTCAAGAAGGAAACTCTAATACACTAGAACCTTTAATTTATGTTATTTTATACTCTTTGTAATTTGCGCTTAATTTTTTAAAAAGGAAAAAATATTTTACTTTGTTTTTAATGTGTGATTTTCAGTAAAAAAAAACATTTTGTATACGATATGTTATAATTTCCATGAAGAGTTAAATTCAAGCATTATTTACCTTTTATATCGCCTTATAAATGTCGTATTCCTCAATTGAATTGAAATTTAGTTGAGATTGATTTTGTGTTTGAACAGTTTTAAGATAGTACCCCTAACTTTGATTGATGGCAGGATTAAAGTCATATCCAAGAGAATTTTTTCGAGTACAAGATAATGAAAAGATAATATTTAATCAGACAATATTGGAATAAAACCATTTATTCGTTGCAAGGCTTTGTCTAAGATCTGAACAATTTTTTGGGATAGGCTTTAAGAGCGACGAGCCACTAAATCAAATGAATTTATATTTTAATTTGTATACAATGCTGAGAAATGGTTGCAGCACCATTGTAAGAATGTAGTCATTAATCTGTGAAGGCTCTTCCCAATTTAAAGAGAATTCATTTTCCTGTCTGCCCTTTGACCTTGGCTTAGAGGAGCTTGGAGTAATATTTAATAATTTAAACTATATTAAATGCAAGTCGTATGGCGCTGATGCACAAAAAACACACACAAGAAGAGAAGAGAAAAATATCTTATTTTGCGTTTCGTAACAGTAGACACTAAAACTAAACGAATTATGTATTGTGAGTTCAAGCAGAAATTGAATCTGGTTTATCGAACACCTTAACAAAAAACGAAAAGAAAAATCTCTATCGTAACATATAATTACACATATATTTGTAGCAAGTAGTATTAGCATAGGGATCAACTTTGTAAATGAGACGTCGCTGTGGACGACGAAAAACGCCCTTGAAATGACAACAGAAATTGTAATATTATTATTAACCAAGTGAAGACAAGCAATTTTGTATTGTAATCTATATATGGGTGGCAGCATTGCGCCCCCAGTTCACCACCTTCGACCCATTTAAACACCCCGATCCCTAACACATACAAAAAACATCATGATGAAACTGAACATTTGGAAATTGCAATATTATACAATTGTATACATTACTTATATATAGCTATACTTATACACATATACTTACATACATACAATATGGAAATCTTAGTGCAAACCTAAGGTATTATTAGCTCGTAGGCAATCAACAAGTCAAATCAAATCATAAGAGATATACATCCACATATGCATATATTGTATATTTGTAAAATAGCATAAACTTTTAGGGCAAAATGCCAAACTTTTACACGATCTCTCGTATTTTGTCGTTCTTTTTTGGAAACCCATTAACTTGGATTTGTTGGTTTCACTTGTTTGTACCGTCCCAACAATTCCAAGTTGATCAAACAAAACGATTACATCAAAGTGCGGGCATGTCCACATAACATTGTAAATATTTAAACAAGTCTGTTTGTCCGCTTCGTTCGATGCCTGCTAATGAAATTGTGCCGGCCACCTATCACAGAACTTTACCTAGAAACACATATTAAATATATGAATAAGTAACTTTATCGAGCCATATAGAAGTGCAGTCTCAAAGTAGAGTTTAGACATTAAGATCCAGTTTCTAGTCTTAATTTGAAAGCAAATATGAAACAGTTTCGAACTAGAGACATGCCGAACTTTAACTTGTGTAATGAATGACTTCGGTGTCACCGGAGGATTCTTCAATATATACACTTTCAATTGGGTACTACATAAATAAATATTTAGCAAGAACTTATGATTTTTTATTTTATTTCCTTTGCAACCACAATCAATACAATAACTATTTCTGATTAGAAACGGAAACCTAATTATTATTTCACCCCACCCCCCAAGATGGCTTAAGATCAAGGTGGAAGATAATTCAATAAATATTGTAAGGAAAGTCTAGCGTAACCAAAAAAAACCCTGTATAAAATCGAAGCAATACTCACAAAATAGCTATGATACTAGTTGTAAAACCTCTCTGACAAAGCAACAATGCGGCAGCAACACGTTCAGTCAGTGTGTGTGATAGTAGCTAAGTAACGAGGGTACTGGCTATCTGAATATCGGTGTTTTGTACATAAATAGGAACGAGGCGTAACCCAGCCCCAGGCATATTATGCGCGATGTGTACTAAGAGTACACAGTGGCGGTTACTTTGCATTTCATAGTTGGTAGACAGGCTTCGCTGAAGCGCAAGGGTGATAAAATGTTGAAAGTGAGCGTTGACACGCACTCAATCTTTTTTGTCCTCTACAAGATCAGCTTTGTGTTATATAAATAGGTGCATCACGATAAAGATAACAAATACTTGACAACTAACAACCCGCCAGCATATAAATTGGTGTGATAATAATGTATAACAGAAAACATTGTGAAAAACAATTGAAGGTTAGTTTTAAATTTTTTTTTTAAGATATGCGCAAATAACATTTTAAATTGAAGGAATGTTTTATTAATTGCAAACAAAAAGTAGCAAAACATTGTCGAATGTAATATTTACTTTTAGCAGCTTAAAATACAACCACTAATAACACGGATACAAAGCGAGAATGTAATGGAAATCAAGCATTATCAGGAATTTTTAAGGAAGAAAGAACAAACAAAAGATTGCACTGAATGGGGCCCCCAGAATGCCGCCCGAACAGGCCTTCAATATACTTTATTGCAGCTGCTTATATAGTGAGGCAATACAAATTTCAATAAAAATTTAATCGATTATTAAAATGAAATGGAGAACAAGCGAACAAAACCAACCAATTAAGTAATCATGTTTTTTGGTGTCTATGTTAATCCCTAGAAATTCAAGCACGATTAATCAATTAGAAATCAATGTCAAACAGTAGTAGTGCCCACACAGCAGCAAATATAGATAAACAAGTATTTAAAATATGTATTCATAAATTTGAACAAAATATAACCTTGTAGCACTTTTAGATCCTCAACAATGAAACAAAGACCCAACTTTAGGTATTCACGAAAAAAAGATGATGATTTTTGGAACTGAGCGCTGATCGATATTTTAGAAGAGCCCTGCTCTGGCTTGGCATGACTGAATTGATAAGATGAGAACTAAATTGAAACGAATTGAATTCTAATGAAATGTTTGGTAATGGGTACACAAATACACGCATAGAACACACACATATAAGGAAAACTGATACGATATTATTGTTATAGTAGATCTTTTTCTAAGCGCTGACCATGGAAAATATGCGAGAAGTTCTGCTTAACAGCAGCTTAGTGACCTCAGCAAAGGCAGCTCACTTCAACAGATTAACTCTAATCGAGGCCACCCAATCAAGTCTAGCATACAAATTTATATTTCACGTTGTACTTATATTTACCTAGATAAAAAAAAAGAATTGCGAACACACAAAACTCCCTTTGGAAAACATGTTTAAACCCATACAAGTGAAATAAACTAAAATATCTTTTCAAATTCTTTGGAAGTATTTCACTTTGGCAGGGTGGGATTTTAAAGCTTGGCTGGGAGTGGTAAGGATATACAGTGAGCAAAAGAAGTATAAGTATCTTTTGCACGGAAACTGTATCATTGTATTTCGAATAAAATTTACCATTTGTTAAGATGTTGACTTTTGAAAGCCTCTGTTAATGATTTCAAACCTGTAGAGATATTGTGCGACACCTAGTGTTGGCTTACAAAACTAGACGTAAAATGTGTGTAAAATGAAACAGATGTAAAAATTGCGTCATATCTACATACCACGTAATGGAATACTTCAGTCGAGTTTCAAACCACAAATCAAAAAGAGTGGCCTGTATTTAGGCGTTATTTCTGAAATTTTTAGATAACTCCAATTCAGTAAGTAAATTAATATGTTGACTTTTTTTTTTAAATTGGTGCGATTCACAAAAATTCATCTTGATTATTTGATAATTGACTTATTGAGATATTTATTTACCATAAATAAATAAATTAATAAATTTTTTTAACCTATTCTGATCCCACCTAATAAATTCACACAATTTGTTCTTTTATAATTCATTTTAATTTCTGCACATATAGTATACATACATACTAATTCATAATGTTTGTTTATAATTTTCTATGTCTTGCTGCTGCTTTGTTTGCTGTACATGCATCTTACACATTTTGTTTCAGGGATGTTACATTTAATTATTTGCGCTTTATTTTGTTTTTAATTTAACGGCCACATTCAATTCTATTGGATTCGGTTTACATTTGTTTTTATTTTTCATTCGGCCCACTTATCTGGCGGATATACCAGTTGAAAGAGCAAGCCATTACCTATTTTATTTTGAAATTAGCAAAAGCTTCGAAAAAGTGACATGAACATTTTGCAAAAATAACAGTTCAGTTGAATAGTTAAAAATTTAGCATTGTTAGAATGGAAATTATTGCAGAACTAAGAATTCCTATTTTGTATACGTTGTAGAGCTCTTTCAACACCATTGCCTAATACTTTTTGAACTCTTTGGGTTTTTAGATTGGATTTTATAGAAACACGCACCCGTACATATTCCATATATTGTTTGCACATTTAGCTTTGCTTGGGTCTAGCGGTCCTCTAAAATTTTTCAATACATATCTAGTTGGTTTTGTAGTTGTTTATTTTCGGCCCTTTTCTTTTAAGTTTCCTGTCAATTTGGACGTAGACCATCTCCATTCCAAGTTTCTTCTTTTTTTTTCGCTTCGTATTATATATAGTGTTAGTTTGGTTTGTTTATTTAGTTAACGATATGTTTGGTATACAAACTTTATAATACCCTGGCTATGTTTTTGGTTTTTTTTATTTGGGATAGCTTAGAACAGCGCAGGTTGGCAACTTTTTTTGCTGAGCACTTGGGCGATTGTTTTGCCACCTGAAGCCTGAGGAAGAGATCTAAAAAGATCGGGAAAGAGTCATTAGAGAGCTATAGAGTGGATGATACATCCAAAAGAAGGGCAGAGAAATCAAGGTAAGCCTCGGGAAATAGACAGTTTAGAAACTGAATGTGTTTTGTGGTTGAAAAGAAGTGACAGAATCATGTTCTAAAAGGGAAAGTCTGGTTTAGGTTTATAAAGCCAATTGAAAGTTTTGTTGGTTATGGTTACAGAACATGATCTTTCTTGGAGGTTCAGCTATTCTTTGTGGCACATTCAAAAGATAGATTTTAGGGTACATATGTAGGTATCTAAAGTCTACTCGTTCTTATTTTCAAACACACGCACACACAGTTCTAAAACACTCATACGGACACTCTCACTTTTGTTGCATACATACTCGCGCCTAGAACCTAGACATACATACATATATAGACCTGGTGGCTAACTAAAATCGTAACTAAATCCCATTTAATTCTACTGGCCAAGTTTAGCCGGACTGAGCACCAATTCTGGCTCGAATTTGCTCGATGACGCCGTTGAGGATGATGCCGCCGCCGTCGCCGCCGCCGTTGTGGACTGTAGGCTGCTGCCACGCCCCATTAACGATCCGGCGGACGACGGATGTGATTTCAGATGATCAGCGGTCGTAAACGATGAAGTGGTCAATCCGCCCAGAACCACACCGGATGCGGTGGCCGGTCGCATTAGGCTCAGACTCAGACTCGTGGCTCCGCTGGACTCCAGCACCTGGCCGGGAATGCTGGCTGCTGCTGTTGCGGTGGCCACCGGCGGCGCCGGCAGCGGCAGCAGGCTTATCGTTGTGCTGGTGGTGGTGAAGGCAGTTCCGCCCACCACTTTGCCGGCGGAGCTGCTCATGGACATGCCCAGCGGTCCGCGGACCGTCGCCGATGCGGAATAGGTGTGCGGCAGGGCCGGTGGCAGGTCATAGCTCGTCGGATGCGACTGCGACGTGGGCAGCCGGGCCGTTATGGTGGGCGTTGTCGTCGTGGTCGTCGTCTTGGGCGTGGCCCCCGTCGAAATGCCCGGCCGATTGAGCCGTGGTATCGCCCCCGTGCTGCAGCTACTGGGCAGTGCTGCTGTTCCTGCTGTTGCTGCTATTGCTGCTGGTGATGCAACTGCAACTGCAACAGGTTGCAATGCCTCATCGCTGGCATCTATCAGGGACGTCTCCTCCACCACCTCCAGCGAATCCTTCACGGTGGAGGAGGAGGACAGTGACTGCGACTTGGTCACCTGATGCTGCTGTTGCTCCTGATAACGCTGCTGTTGCAGGGCCACCCTTTGTCGCACCAACTTGCTGTCCGGCTTCTCGTCCACTGTGCTCAAAGTGCTAACTCTCGTTATCCTCGATGTGGCTGCTCCTGCTCCTGCTCCTGCTGCTGATGTTGATGTTGGGTCTTTGCTGGTACTACTCGTAACGGCAGTTGTGGCTGTTGTACGTTTGGCAATCTGCTTCTGTTGCTGCTGCTGCTGCTGCTCCTGATCCTTATCATGATCATGATCCTGCTCCTCGTCACTCATCTCGCAGGCATTCAGAGCCGTCTGCAGTTTCTTCATTTCCAGTGGGGCATCTGTTTAGAAAAGAAAATGTTATCAGAAAAGCTGTAATTAATCAAGCATATATTCTTAAAATTATTTCAATGCAGATTTTTGTTTTCTATATATTTTAGATTTTTTAAGATATCAATTTCCTAACATAAAAAATAACGTTTAGGTTTTTTTGAGAAAGATTTTACCACCGCTATCCGGCTCGTTGATGATCGGCACCACGCGATTGATGGCCGTCTTCTGCTCGTTCTGCATGAACAAGGAGGTGGTGGCTATCTGGCGCAGTGCCTCCATTCCCTCGTTGAGCATTTTGCTCTGGCTGCGCTTGTGAGCTATGGGATATTTGGGCTGCAAAATAGAATAAGGCACGTTTATCGAACTGCTGGTAGTCCAAAATATGAGATATTACAACCTGAAAACTGGGTCCTCTTGCTATCGAAACTCTTTTGCTCTCGTTCCTCAGCAATGAAGTTGTATGATCCGCATCAATCTTGTTGCCGTTTTTCTTGCGCGTCTTTTTGCTGGATGAGATGCAGTGCGATGGACAGATGCAGAAGAGGATGCGTAAAATGCAACAGATCAGGCCCAATCCTGCAAAGAATTACACTATGAGTACATGATAAAGTGGAGTGTTTCATCAACTGTATCATTGCCTATGAGAGAGGGGCCTATAAGTCTTAGTTCCGTGGTTTTGAAGCCCTTCTCGCCGGTGCCAACGAATGCGATGACGAGGCCCAGCGCCACCGTGCCCAGACCCACGTAGAGGAAGGCATTCGCAAAGGTGCTGGGACCGCGTAGAACGCCCAGGAAGTCCTCATCGTCCGACGAGCCGCCCAAAGAGGCGTCTTGGATCTGCCAATGGAAAGGGACTTTATCAATATACGATTTTAAATGGTTTAAACGAAGATTTCGTTATAGCAGCACAGCTCCAGGAAGGCAAACAGAAATGTTTTTAGTTCTTAAACCAAAAATATATTATTAATATCTGTGATAGTATAAAACTAATATTTAACATTAAAAATGAATTAATTTTTGAAGAACCTTGACATATGACATTTAGTATCAATATATTCATTAAACACTTTATAAGAATTTGTATTTTTTGTATTTCAATCCAAATGTATTGTATGTACTGTCACAGTCGAAAAATGTAATAGCCTAATAAATTCTAAAGAGTTTTTGCAGTTGGCCTTCCTGGAGGTATGGATTTTTTTGTGGTGGTTCCTAACAAAATGTTGTTATTAAACAAAGGGTTTGTTATGAAAATCAAAGTTCATTAAGCCGTCAAAGTAATAAGAATATGATAGCTTCTTAGGTAACTAAAATTAGGGATTATCTGCCTGCTTCACCTAACAGAGAATGCGCTGAACATTGAGAAAGTGGTGCATGAAAGGAAGGTGACATTGAGGAGAGCAAGTGTTAGAAGGTCAGGGGTTACAAGTAGAGTCATATAAGTATATGGGTAATATGTACACGGCGTTTGGAGGTCCTTCGTGGTGGCACTTACTCGGTTGCGCTTCACCCAGCGTCGATGGCAGGTGGCCTGCTGCTGCTGCTGATCCTGGACGCTGCAGCGTCGACCCCGCTCCAACCAGGCGGCGCGTCCTTGGGCGCACTTTTGGGGTTTTCGGCCAGGAGGTCAGATGACCGGGAGGTCAAGAGGTCAGGTCAGGTGATCGAGTGACAACGATAGCACGGAGATCGACACCAAGCGACGACGACAACAACACACACAGTGGTTGCAGTGGCGATTGGAATTTTATTGTTTTGGCGGTGGTGGTGGGGCAGATGCATAGAAAATATATACAGTTCAGTGATTAGTTTGGGCTGTGTGAGATCGTCTCTCGTTTGTGGTTAAGGGGGAGTACACATATATCATTAAAATATATTTATATATATAAAGGAATATTTTTCAAAAGCATACAATACAACTCATCACAAGAGTAACGTCTAATGCAAAAGCAATCAAATTTGGTTATCAAACCGAATACTGAATTTATATTTGGTTCCAAGAGTTTTTCTTCTTGTCATCAATTACAACATCAATGGGAAATATAGTTGGTAGCCAATTTTGTTGGAATTTTTTCGTTTTTTTTGGGGTATTTCAAGGCATAAACGCACATCGGAGTAAAACAGTTAACAGTTAGGATATGAAAACGAAAAACAGTTAAACAGCAAGTAATTGGAGAATATAGTTAAATAGAGAGGAAGGTAGACGTAGGTATGGAAAATATGGAACATTAACTGAAAAACGAGAACACTGAAAGGAGTAGAACACTTAGATGGCAGAAGGGGGGAAGACACTTCAAGACACAAGTCATATTTTTCAGGGCAATCAATCAGCATGCCCAATGCAGCTCTGCAAACAGCTTAAGTTCACAAAATAATTTCTGTAGCGCAGCCCATGCAGAAATAAGAGATTAATAAAAAATAATCCTGTTTAAATGTTTATCTTTGTGGAGATAATAAAAACCTATTGTTTATTTTAAAACAAATAAAACAATACAGTTGCTGCCAACCGAAAAAGATTTTGCAAGCCAGGAATTTCCTATCGGTAGCTACATAGTAAAAACATAGGCTTCAAAATATATAATCATTAGAAAAAAATTAGTTTATCTTAATTTTTTCTTAAAATTTTTAAAATTTTCAAAATATATTGATAGTGACTTTAAAGGCAAATATTTAAAAATTACTTTTCATAAAAACTTCCCATAAAAATACATGGAATTCTTTTTAAATTTTTTTTTTAAATCGTATAGAATAGACGTATAGAATTTTACTTTGATTTGAAATGAATTTGACATGTATTGATCCTTCACGTTTATCAAGAAAATTGAGATACAATTTATCATTTGGAAAGTATTTATTTCGGCCACTTCATCTTTGTTTAAAAATTTTAAAAAATTTATTGGTCAATTGCCAACCCGCGAATTATACTTAATATTCCGGAAAGTTTATTGGCCGTTAAGTTGCCTGAAACTTGTCGCAAATCAAACAAGGACATGTCAATGTCAGTTCAAGTTGCAAAGACACCGAGTCATAGATGCCATCATCCGCACCTGCCCACCCACATTTGCATACACGTGCACTGACCAAGCACGTAGACGGGCTAATGAGCGACTAGACCCCCGACTTCAGAGCCATCCGCGACTATAAACAAGACAATGTCACTAAGCCAGCCACTAAATATGCTGCGTGACGGTAATAAGGCAAATAAAACGACACAAAAACAGGCTGCCCTATATACGATTGAGGAAGGAAACCCAACAGATATATATATGGGTGACTATATAGTGTAAGTATATAAGTGAACATGATGGACTTTGTATGTAGAGCCACGTTTTCAGGTTTCGTTTGCTTTTCGTGTGCAAAATCGCAGTCACACAAAGCGAGCGCCAGAAAAACAGAAAGCTGGCGAAAGGCAAGTGGAGAGAAAGTATCGATCGGCTGCTCCACATAACTGTAGCAGTGGTAGTGGCAGTAGCTGTAGCTGTAGCTGTAGCTGGAACTGTAACTGTTGTCCTGCCCTTGACTTAATGTAGGTGTAATCAAAAATTTGCGACGCTGATTGACGAACAACGCGGAGACTCCGCCGAAGGCCAATGGAGAGTCAAAAAGGCAACGCACGTACTCAAAGGCGATGCACGAGAAGTGCGGGGGTATCGGGAAGGATTTGGGCGAAAAAGGACCGTTGGCTGAGGTGTGGCCCCGTTGGGAAGTTTTCAAAATATTTGACTAACTCGCCACTCGAAAGTTAAGGGGCCTTAGCAGCTGAGTGAAATCGAACTGCTTCTAAATTACAACTTTTAAGCCCGAAGAAATTTCAACATTTAGATTTTAATGTTTCTAAAAGTAGCAAGCATTAATTAATAAGAGAATATTATCATTATTATAAATTTAAGAGCCAAGATTATTTTTGGTTTGAAGTAAACTATAATTGTGTTAGTATTTTGTAATATTTAAGTTATCTTATTGCAACCGTACTTCTCTAAATTACAACTTTAGAACCCGAATATATTAAAAAAAAATAGGCTTTAATGTGTCTGATTATTTAATATATTTTTATATAGTTAGCAAAAGAGGATGACATCATTTTAAAAATGTATTGTAAGTTTCGTATGTGTTTTCAAAGTTAAATCTTAATTTCTGTCATTTTATAAAATTTAACACAAGACATAACATAAAAATTTCAATAAGCATATATTTTTACTTTTTTTTACTAAAATATTACAAAATAATTATTTTTCTTAGTTTTTTTTACATAAATTGCTGAATATAGATTTAGTAGAGTTCGTTTGTTGATTTGCTTTTGTTTGATTTCGGTGAATTATTCATGTTGCGCATTCGCCCATGGGGACACGTGGCTTACTGAATATTTTCAGCAAATATTTGCCATTTAATTTGATCAAAATATATCTGCGAATACGCACACGCCATGTGTTCATTAAACTTTCACCTTTAGCCAATTTTCAATATTTCGCACAGGAAAGTTGTAATCATGAGGTTAGCCGATATCTCTGGTCCTTCGATGGATTTTTGCTATTTATACGGGGCCCCAAGCTCCTGTTTTCAAAGTAGCTTCACCTTTACGTGTAACGAAACTCACGCAATGCTGGCGGATAAACAATAACAACAAAAGGTACGTATAATAGAAATGTTGTAAAAATTACAACAAAGCGTCGAAAATGCTTTCAATCGGGTCTGGCTTATGGAGGCGACAAACCGCTAATGAACACCGCACACGGAAGCCAATAAAAGGAAAGTGGGCTATGTTATGTGTAAGGAGCTTAATGGAAAATCGAAATTCGCCAAGAAGTCAGAAGAAAAAGACTTCTCCGAATCGCGAATTTTCCATCTTAAAGAGGTTTTTTTCCGCAAATATATCAGTCTTGTCTTTTTTTAAAAAACAAACCAAATCGTTTCTTCAAATCTCTTTTTTTTAAGCCAGTGGAAAGTCCTTAAATATTTTTTTCAAGAACATCCAAAACAGAACAATTTATTGTTTCAGAATTCCACGGAAATGCTCCAGCTCGATAGTTATTTGGTCATTTTTCTACATCACAACTAGATCCCTAATTAAACATGTCGGCGTCGCAATAATGCCCCTATAATTAATGACAATTACTGACTGAAGGTCTCTCCAACGTTATCCGCAGAGTGGTTACATTTATATAAAGATTAGTGAGACATGGGGTTTTTCCATTGTGATTATCGCCATTGATTTTTGTTTCCATTGTATAACAATAAATTGTTTTGCCGCAATTGGCTGGCGGCGTCGAAAATTAACATGTACTCGTCGACGATTTTCCCTCAGCGAACAGGAAGTGTAGGCCATTAATGACGGCAATTTATTCGTGCTCATCGATTGTTTGTTTAAGTGCAGAATTTGGTTTGCTTTTCTGCCCGCGGCTGGCTGTTAATTTGTGTTTTATTCGGCGGTAATGTGTTGAATCAATTAAAACATATTTAACCGATAATGGTTTTCTTGTTTGCTCGGTTTTTGACGTCTTGTTATGGTTTTATTTATTCTCTTGCAGAGGGTACGTAATCCAACTTCTTTAATTGCTCCTGTTTAAATCCTTGAATGTGTTGAATCTAAATACAAATCGTCCCAACAGCTTAAACACATTGCTTATCTAGTATACAATGCTCCTCTTTTGCTGGCTATTCTTATTTAAAATTCCAGATTATCTGTTAACACCCACATCTCAGTCTTTGAACAATTGAAAACAAATCTGTGACAGCGCTCGTATAGTCACATCCCAGCATATATAGCCAAGGAGGCAGTTGCCGACAGCCCCAGCGATTTGGCCCGTGTACAATTTTATTATGCAGCTGCTGGAGAAAGCAACCGACTTGAGCCGAGTGGCGCAGAATCAAGTGCAAAATGCACTTGCAGCATGAGCGCAAAGGGGCAGTTGAGGGGTGAAGAACGCAAGGAACGGATGCTCGGACAGGTGGGCCAAGAGCAAAGGAACGTGGCCGAAAGAAAAAAAAGTGCGCAGGCTAATGAAAAATGCAGGAGCAGCCGCAGCTGAAGCTGACACACGACCAAGTCGTAAAGAACGAGGTAGTGGCAGTGGCAGTGGTGGTGGCAGTGGCAGATACTGAGGCTAATGCTATGCTGTGGTTAGACAATGCAGCAGCAGCCAGCGAGACATCAGGGACAGGGGCACAGAGACATTACAGGCAATTTCACTAAGCGACACTGAAAGGCCAAAGCTGCCCTTCTCGCCACACTTCAGCCAGATGTTTCTTTGTTTCCGGCCGATGTCCTACAGCTCAAGGTGCTGCTGCTGCTCCACGGCCTATGCGGCGAATCGGTTGAGCTCTCACCCCCCACCCCCCGAAAACTGGCACATGGCCAGGGCCACGGGGCGAATGTGGAACAGTACGCTCTTGGTACACAAATCAGCATTAAGCCTCGGCTCGAAACAGTTCATTTGGCCAAATAATGCCCAGGGTCCTTTTCCACTTTGGACACTTCAAAGAGACCGCAGTGTGATAACCCAGCAAGGGTCAGATAACCGGTGGAATATAATTTAAAGTATTTAAAGTATTAAAGCTATCAATTAGTATGAAAACTTTGACACCTGCAAAAATCACCAGAGTTTT